GCCTCTGGTAGAGGACCCGAGATTGAGGAAGACATATACCACCCATAGGGGTGAGAGGGGAATTTTTTTTAATACATAATGTACAACAAAAAGTGCTGCCAGTCAACAAGCTTTCTTCTGTCACTAAGGAAACCAACAAGCTTTCTTCTATCGCTAAAATCATATTAATTTCTGAAGAAACACAGCAGCACTTTTTCTTTAGAGCTGAAAAGTCTTATATCATAGAAGCTAATTAATATTGTACATGTTTACTCCACAATGAACCATGAGGTTTGTGCAATATGAGACAGTAACATGCCAGGCTTGTCTTATTTTCTAATAAGACCATTGGTACATTTTTACCATGGAGGACTCCTGTCCATTGCCATTTTTTTTCAGCAGAGAAAGACCAAACACACCTTTCAGATATTAGGATTACTATATGTGTTCTGTTCTGACCAGATTGGGTGGCATTTTTAATGTAGAAAAATTTACAATGATAATAAAGGTGGCATAAAATCTAAACAAACAAACAAACAAATTCTGTTCTTTGATAACAGCATCTAAGTGATGCTGTTGATATTCTGTCCTGGTGCCTGGAGGCTGTGGTTGTTTGGATGGAGAACAACAGGCTTCAACTGAACCCTGGTAAGACTGAGTGGCTTTGGGCTTTAGGGCCTTCTGGATCTGGGACCTTACCATCTTTAGTACTGGATGGGGCCACACTGGTCCAAACAGACCCGGTGTGCAATCTGAGGATCCTTCTGGACATGACTTCTGCTAGGAGGACCTCTGCACAGTGTTGTGCATGTGATGTGCACCAATTGTGCCCATTCCTGGATCATGAGGCTCTGCTCAGTTACTCATGGCCTGGTCACCTCCCAAATGGATATTGTAATGTGCTCTACATGGGGCTGCCCTTGAAAAACATCTGGAAGATTCAACTGGTACAAAATGTGGCAGGGTGGGCAGTTATGTGTGCACCTAGAATGGCACACATTACACCTCTGCTTTGCAAGCTGCATTGGTTGCCAGTTTGCTTCTGGGTTCAATTCAAGGTGCTGGTTTTGATCTTCAAAGCCTACATGGCATGGGACCAGGTTATTTGAGGGACTGCCTCTTCCCAGTTACATATACCCATCCCATCAGGTCCATCAGGAGGGGCATGTTATGGGTCCCATCTGCTGTAGAGTTTCATCTGATGGGACCCAGGAAGCAGGCCTTTTCTGTTGTGGCGCCTGCCCTTTGGAACATCATTTCCCCAGAGATGAAATTAGCCCTGATTCTACTGGCATTTAGGAAATCCCTGAAAACTTGTTTTTTTCAGCATGCTTGGGTATCCCATAGAAATGGGGAGCCCACGAGATGTTACACTGTATGTAGGATACTGGTCCATTCTCCTGTGGTTTTATTTTATTCTTATCCTTATTTGTAATTGTGTCTGTCTTTGACTGTTGTTTTAATTATTTTAACTGATTGTTTATTGTATGTAGCCCAGAGACACGTTTGTAAGATGGGTGGCTATATAAATCTGATAAATAAATAAATAAATAAATAAATAAATAAATAAATAAAGCAAGACTAGTTTGGAGCTCATTATGATTATTGATAGATTATTAGGGACTAACATTTATATGCTATAATGAGGTCACCATTTTTTCTCACTGAGAATAACTGAGGATAAGCTGATTAATATTGAGTCAGATCATATCTAGTTAGCATAGGCAGAGTAATTCTCCAGCTTCCAGGCCTGATTTCTGAAGGTCTCCATAAATGTTACTTCTCCAAACCCTCAACGGCATCTACAGGAAGTCAAGATTTTGTCAAAAAGACAAATGTGTATTGTGACACAAGCTGTACCCTTTATGAACTTGCATGCAATGTCACCATGCACACACTAAAGGGATGGAGTTTCCATTGCAAGACACATTTTGCCATTTGCCAGCTCTGCAGATGGCCAAACAAACCCACCTACTCTGTTTATTCAAGGGGAAACTGCCACCTCAGGTATCTGAGGACTACCTGGCCCTTTGTGACTCCTATCCAGATCACGGATGACTGACAACAATTCCAATGTAACACCTGTTTCACGTTTTATCTGGAGATCTCAAAGAATGAACCCAAGATCTTCCACATGTAAATAATGTCTACTCTGCCACCCTATTATATAGCAAATTAAAATTAATCAATTTTATGTCGCATATCACAGGTGGAGATATATAGTATCTCAACCAGTGATATGCATGTTTTACGAATCATAACATCAGAAGATACCTCAGAGATCATCAAGTTACTCCACAACCACCACCTCACTGTGGAATGTAACTACAGCACAGATAATTAATTGCTATTCAGTTTCTGCTTAAATAAATCAATTTATTTCAGCAAGTGGTACACTGAAAAAGATAAATCTTGATGGTTATGTTAACAGGGCCAAGCCAATATGACTGTAAAACATTCGTCATTATTTAACGCTTCTTTAAAAAATGGGCATGCTACAAACCCTGCTTCTTTTCTTCAGAGGAAAGGTGTGATTATCAGGAAGTTACCAAGAATGCTTAGTTGCACACGAAGTGCTGAAGAGGTGTATTTAAATTTAGAATGTACTTTGGAAATGCCATTTCAGAAAGCAAGTGGAATGTGTTTCATGGCTGTTGTGACTGGTTTATTTGTGAATAGATATCAGTTGGGCAAAGTCTATGGTGATAAAGAAAATGCTGTCTTATGATATGACCTGGGGTTCTTTGGAGCTTGTGGAAATGGAAAGAGTCCTCAGCAGCATGAACCCTACCACCTGTGCCCTGGATCCATGTCCTAACTTCTTCAGGCAGCTAGATGGAGATGAATGGGTGGATCAAGAAGGCTATTCATGTTTCTTTGAGGGAGAGGGTGATGTTTCCTGCTTTGAATGAGATGGTTATCTGCCCTCTCTTGAGGGAACCATTCCTGGATCCAGCTGTTTTTGATAACTTTTATCCTATTTCTTAATATTCTCCCCACAGAAATATGTGCAGCCCCCACTATGCTGGAATTCCATAACCAGATGATTAATAGCTAGTTAATGTGCTTTCAATTCCAGTTGGCAGATTATTAATACCCATCCTGGATTTTATCACAGGTCCTATTTTTGCTTTCCTTTTGTGATTCTGGATATTGGTTTGGATTTAGTTAATAATTGCTTTTGTTTGATGTCATATACCACCCAAAGTCTTTGGGATGGAGGCAGGTTACGTACTGTCGATAAATAAATAAATGAATGAGTACTAAGTAAACAATAAGGTAGCTGTGTAGATAATAAGTATTTATAATGAGGCAGAGAAATCTTCCTTTGCTACTTGGAATAGGAACTGAAGAAAGTTCTGAGAGGACCGCTCAAGAGATCTATTTTCCATAACCTTTTCTTAATCGCGGATAGTACATTAAAAGAAGCGCTATCAGAATGCTATATATACAGTCCACCTGCCTTAAGCTCTCAGAGCAGAGAGATACAGATGTTATATTATGCTATGCCCCCATGAACAGGGTTTTACATGATTTCTATCCCCTTCCCAATGGGGGGGGGGGATTCTCTATTTTTACACATTGTACTGTATATCCTGTGTGGTGTTTTCAGTTAGAGTGACCACCAGGAGGCGCCATGTTACCAGTTTCATCCTTATTGGGAATCTTCAAACACATTAAAAGAGAAAACTTACACTAATGAATAGAATTTACTGCACTGCATATTGTCCAAATTTTCAAATGTTATCCTTCATAAATATTGTGCCTTCATTGTACAAGCAATTGTGCCATCAAATCCAGAATATTTTAGATGTTGCTCACATACTGGCACTAGCTGGCAGAAAACCCCAAATGGTCCATTGGCAAAAAATCCTGTAACAAACATAAGAACTTACACTGTCATCTACATCTCCAGTCTTCCAGCCCTTTAGCAACATTTTTGATGCAGGAATCTGAAGCTCATTTTCTAAAATATGTTTGATCTCTCCTGGAAGAAAACACAAAGGAGAATCATCAAAAAAATATTTCTGCCTTTTCTAATTTATCTTTATAAAGCATTGACAAAATAAAATGTTATATCTAAGAATCCCAAGTATTACTCAATCAAGGTATTTTAAATATATGTTCAACATTAATGTCTTTAAGTGTTTTAGTTTATCCCCATAAACACATATATTATATATAATAGCATTAAAAATGAAACACTGAAAAATATTTAGGGTACATTTAAAGAAGAGAAGTGCAAAATAATAATAAAAATTACACTTTAAATGCTATTGAGTTCTGCTATTGTTTTTCCCCTTTTAGGTAAAATGGATTAAAGGTATTCAGATTTCATTTTGTAAATTAAAACAAATGGATCTTTTGATATGTTTAGGATACATAATTTGCTGTAGGATGTTGGTTTCTGTAATATACACCTTTGGGCTCTAAAAACCCTTCTAAATTGTTTGAAATGTTTAAAATTTACACATAGTGTGGCTACTCATTTACCATCTTTCTCAGACAGTAACAGGCATTTGGTCTCAGTAGTTACTCAACAGTAACTATTGAGACCAAATGCCTTTTCAGCTTGGTACTACCTACAATGGGATAACTTCTTTTCCACACTTGTTACTTTAAACTTCTGAACAAGAAATATGAGGACTGATTCTTGGCTCTTCTACATAAAAGTATTCTGTTCCATCACTAAAATTTGGCCCTCGACGTCACTCACAGAAGATGTTCATTAACTGTTGTCATTGCTGTTAATAGAGCTAAAGGTTACACTAGAGTAGAATTCTTTCCTTAAAAGTCTTTGTATTTCTTTTCTAGATCAGAATTACTGTTCTGATTCTAAGCTCCACAGACAAGTTTGTTATTTTATTCAAAATCCTTTCAAGCACTGAATTACCCCACTGGGCAGAATTATGCAACTGTTGCTCAATAGCAAATATAATATGATCAAATGCAGAATATTAGTCTCATGCCAAAAAGCAGATGTCATCCAAGCTCTTGACTATTTTAATTATTTCTCTATTCTCATGGTATATGTTCTTTCCATCTGGTGGACATTTTATGCAACTGCATCACTAGAAAGAAAAAAAAAAGTAAACATCTGACTTTGACAGAAACATTTATGCACGTAGCCCACAGCTGCTTTTGCAAGGATGTGAACTGAAAATGTTGAACTTGCTATTAAAAGGACAAGCTTGAATTATCAAATAGTTATAAATAAATGTTCTACAAAATACATTAATGTGGTGGCTAGTAGTAGCTTCATTGTATCCAGCTTTGCTTTAGATTTGCCATCAACTGGGCATACAACCCTGAACAAGATGCAACCCTGAGCACAAACCCAGTGAATCAATCCTGAGCAAGATACAGATGGAAGGGATTAAAATACTGTTGAAACACTAATGAAAGTACGGCCTCTATCCCTCAAGACATCCAGTTTAGTAAAAAGTGAAACTTAGGACATAAAAACAGAATACAGTCGGATTTTTTTCATCCTTATCTAAATATACAAAAGTTTATTTACATTTGAATCAACATAACCTGCTTCACACTAGAGATATTTTGTCTAATGTTCTTACATATTTTCTCTTTATGATATATCTGCACATATGGAAAACTGTTTCAGATGAATACAGAATTATGAGCAAAATCTCTATAGATATCTATATTTCTATACAGTTCCCTGGGAAACTTTTGTTGAGAAGGAAAAATGCACTCTTTGTTGACATAATACATATATTTCAGAAGGTATCATATTTCATCCTCTCATGTCAGCACAAATGTCTTATATCCAGCCACTTCTAGAAAATAAAACATCAACTTGTATCAAAAAAATCTTCCAAAATATAATAGTCACCTGCTGATAAAACACGAGCATTTTACTAATTTATCAACTGAAGGGATCTTAAAAACATTGATATTGTTTTCTCACTTGGAACTGTGCAAAATCAAAAAAGAGAGTAAGAACTTGGATTTCAACCAATTTCAAAATAAGGCACAACCCCGTGAAGAACTGAGCATAATAGCCAAACAAGTACCTGCTTAGCAAATAAAGCATATATGTGCCACTAGATGTCACTCTTTGATTATATATTACATACTAATTTTTTAAAAAATTAGCTGATTCTGGGCAAACACTTGACACAATATGCATATGATTTATATATAGCATCTCTAAACTGAATACTTATTTTGAAAGGAAGCATTTGTTTGCCATCCCTAATCAGACAGAATGGGCAAAACTGTTTTAAACAAATAATAAAATTTCATCCTCTTTCTATCCAGTTACTCAAGGAAAGAAAATAAAGTATGAATAATACGGGATTAGTAAAGAAAGAGGAAAATGAGGTACTGCAATAGGTAACACTAATTCTAGCATAACAAATACCATCTCTGAAAAGTCTAATGGTACAGTTTACAGCATAAAAGAAATCACCGCATTTTGCAAATCAGTAACAACTCCAAGATGACTTTACAATGAGGGCAGAATTCCCTTTTTTTTCAGTCACAGTGCTCTCTCTCTTAATTCTGGCACCACTTCAGGCACAACATTTTGTAATCTTTGAGCTGAATTCAAAAGTATATACTGTATGCTCTATGATTCTAAAGTGGTATAACAGAGATATTGTACATTGCATTAACATGGGATTTGGTATCTTTGATCATTATTTTGGCCACTGTCATACAAGAAATTGTTAATTCAAATACTTAAATAACTGATCCATGTTTTCCCCCACTCTTTGCTTCCTAAGAGGTAGAATAACACTAACTTTACAAGTGATGCTCTTATATACCTCCCCCAGGCCCCTCAAAAAAACATATCGGACTTCAGGTCAGTTATGCCTATAAATCTTTACTCTTTGAGAAATTAGGTGACAGCAGAAGCTTCAGAGCTATTCATTTGTTTGAAAGATTTATATAGCTGCCCATCTTATGTAACATAACCCTGGGCAGCTCACAGACAGTAATAAAACACTAAAAACAATAAAAAGCATAAAAACCACCACCACCTCCAACAAAAAGCTAGATAAATTGCTTCCTTACAAAAAAGAAATGAGTCATGTATACAAACACCTGCGTACTACAGAACACACAGAAATCAGCCTCAGGGTTAAATTTTAAAACTTTTCCTCCCGCCCTTTCAAGTCAATGGACTTTTGGCCATGCTTTTCCCAAGGTTGAGACTGGAATGCACCTGCTGTGTTTACACAATGGTTCTCGCTGGCCTGACTAGTGCCTTGCCAATTTCAGCTCTGACACATATTTGTACTATAGTTAAATATACTACTTAATTTGGTCTCCTTTTTTTTCTCAGTAGTTTCTTACCAACAGTAGAACTGTCTTCAAGCACCACATCCACATTTCGGTCTCTGTATTCCACTCTGAAGTCCAGCATTCGTGGTTGTCTTTCCACTATTTGTCTGGATGGCACTACATGGCGAAATGCAGAAGAGGAGGAAGGTGCTGAAGATGATGACGAAGGGTGACTAGCGGGACCATAGGCAGGCCTTTGTAAAGACTCTCCACTATATTCACTGAAAAACATATCAATTTGATTTCAAATAAAAACAGTTTTCCAAATTCAGGGCAATTTATGCGTGCTCATATGCTTACATGTATTAATGCAAATTATCTGTACTAGCTGTGGCAAAAGGCTTGGATTTGTACAAGCCATTTAGAATATGCATGATGAACAAATAGAAATTTCTGAGGTGGTCACAAAGTAGATGATAAAATGCTGAAAACATAAAACAGACAATAAGAATATCAAAAAAAAAAAAAGTCAGTGGAATAGAGAGAATGTCTAGAACTGTATTAAGTATCAGCAGAATGTGATCTAAAGCCTACACCAAACTTCATGTCCTGAACCAGCCCATGAACAAGAATCAATCAGCAGAAGACCTTCATGGCTATAACAAGAATCAATCAGAAGGAGGAGGCCTATATAGAGACATCATGATGTCCTTATAGCAGAGGAAGGTAAACTAAGAACTGCTTTAGAATATTGTGAGAACAAGCAAACTTGTAAAATACCAGATAGCAAAGTAGCAAAGTATTCACAATAATAACGAGGATATAGCCTGACATCCTCCTAAGCATGCAACCACTAAGAACAGAGCAAGACCTCTTGCCATACAATATATGAAAGCATATACAAATTATAGGTGAACAATAAACATTTGGGAGCTGGCCAAAGACAAAAACAGCTGGTCATAGGGGTATCCCTAGTTTCTTCCTTCCGTATTCATCTTGGCAAATGATAAATCCAAGAACGAAAGAGATTCCATTTATAATCGTGTTACAGCTGATGACCAACCCATATTTTCTACTCTGCCTTACCTTCGCTTTGGGCTAGCTTCCAAAGTTTGGTGATATAAATATATACGACTGAATGAATGAATGAATGAGGCCTGATTAATATTTAACATTAGTGTTTCATATATAATATTTAAAGTTCCACTTTGCTTGGGTGCCACATTTTGTATCTTTTGACTCAGTTATACCTTGTACAAATGAAATGGTGTTGTATCATATTTGAGTTTTGTTCCGATATTTGGCATGCCTTAATATTCCTCTCAAAATATCTTGCAACAAAGACTTGATTATTTTGCTTTGTTTGGGGAATCTGTTAAATAAATTTGGGTAGCAAGTTCTTCAAACAACTGGTTCTGCTTTATGAACATTATTTGAGGTTACTTCCAAAACAGTGCAGAAATGAAGTCACAAGTGGTAAGCATTTTGTTCCTGAACAAAGACCTTTTGATTCTTAGAATTATTTGCCATAACTAAATAGACCTCCAATTAATTCTGCTAACATCCTGACCTGCAATAATCTTAACAGTTGTCAGGACTTACCCTATCTTTTTTTAGTCTGGATGCTTTTCAAAAGCACACTTGTAATTATAAAATGAACTAGACGCTAAACTGAAAACAGTTTCAAATATGCCTTTGTATTTGAAAACAATATAAAACATCAATCTGGATATTAAATAAATACAAAATACTGCAAAATGGTGGTGTATACATCATAGTAACTGATTTTTGTAATGCACTACCTCAGATTTGTTTATTAACAAATATATGAAACATCTGATAGGACATGCTGCTTCATTTTGGTCCGATTTGCAACTATACAAATAAAATATACTTCTTCCTCTTTTTCTCCATATAGATATACCTAAAGAGTACTCATGGAATATAACTAACACTGAACATAGATATTATAGAACACATCCCACCCAGTAAAAACTACATTGACTTCCTGTTTTTTCCAAGTATATTTTAATTTTGTAAAAACTACATGGCTTTGAACAGGGATGTACAATTTGCAGCCCCCGAGTCCAGAGCCTCTCCAAACCTTCTACTAATTTTCATTCAACAGCAGGGGGGAAAATTAAATGCACTGATTATATTTAATACAATTATATTTAATCAACTGAATTATATTTTTTAAGTAGCTTTGTCCTGGCTCTGTCCACTCTTTTTTGTCCAGAGAGTTTGGATTAGGGTTAGGAAATACACTGGTTTGTGTGCTCAAGTGCTTAAGAAACATTGCGCATTCTTGGCTTAAGACCAATTATCTATTAGAGACTCTCTCCTTCCCTTTGTTCTGTAATGCTCTCTTAGGATGTGTCATGGCAATGCCAGATAGGATTCTCTCTAGGCTCCGCTTTTGAATCCCTTTCTCTTGGAAACATGCAGGAAGGGGAGGAAGGAAGGAAGGAGGAAGCTACCCAATGGGGCACTATTATTATTTATATCTGAATAAACTTTTTTCAGGGATCATGAGGAGATTATATTTGTAATTCAGACAAAGTACTTAATTACTTTTCCCTCCTATTTCTAAATTGTAAAAAAAAGATTATCCTACGAGGCAAGGAAATCATGCAAAGCATAGCTTCTGGAATTCCTTCTAATTCTTTACTAACAATAGCCATACACTGTTATATATGGGAGGGCTGCCCACACTCCCTCTGGGTCATGTGATCAGAAGGGAGAAAGGAGGGGGACACAGAACGGAAGAGTCAACAGCATTCTGAGCTGCTACCCACTGCCTCTCCCAAGGGATACCTGGAGAGATTTTTTTCTGCACAGCCCCCAACCTGATCCAGTCCATTTCCAAACTCAGTCTTTCTTTTGCTTCACACTAAATTTGGTCCTGTTCTCTTCAGTTTTTGAAAACTTATTCAGCAGAAGGGCACACAGACCTGACCACCTTTACATAATTTATTTCCAACACTTCACTGGGCTAGGAAGGATTTTAAAAAGGAATATGATTTGAATAAGGCCCTGCTCACTGCCACTCATGCCCTCATGACCTCCTGTTTGTACTACTGCAATGCACTCTACATGGGGACTGCCCTTGAAAAGCATTTGGAAGCTTCAACTGGTACAGAGTGCAGCTGGTTACTTGGCATACGTAACAGCACTACTTTGTGAGCTGCACTGGCTGCTGGTGTGCAGTTGTCACCTTTAAAGCCCTTCATGGTTTGGGATTGGGTTGCTTGAAGGACTACCTTTCCCCAGTTGTTTCTACCTGTCCATTCTGGTCTGGCAAGATGGGTATGCACCACATCCCATCAGCCAAAGAACCCCAGTTGGCGGGGCCCAGGAAGTGTGTCTTTTCTGCCATAGCGTCTAATAACATTCTCCCTCCAGAGATTAGGATGGCCCTGACTCTGCTGGCCTTTTATAACCCTAAAGACCTGGTTTGATGCCCAGGTCTTGAGTGTGTGAAGGGTCCTGTCTTCTGGCTGTGCTAGCAACTGTTCATTGTGGTCTTCCTTGGCTGCCGTGTATTATAATTTTTGTATTTGTGATTGGAATTGTTTTTAATTTATTTTAAGATTGTTCACAGCCCACAATCATTTGTTGAGATGGGAGGCCATACAAATTGAACAAATAAATAAATAAATTCTAATTGTTACAGAATGAGGCATGAATTTAAAATCCTTAATATATTAATAAGTGTACCAGCAATTTAAAATCTCTCCTCTCGTAGCTATTTTTTAAAATGGGAAACTAATATTGAACTTTTGGTTTTTCAGTTCCATAGTGCAAAATATAAGCATAAACTAACAACTCAGTCACTGTTTAACTGAACTACACAGTGAACTGTTGCTGACAAATCTGCAGTTTTAATATCAGAGCATTTGTCATCTTAACCATCGCCTACAATAATTTGCATTATTCTGCATCACAAATTATGTTTGAGTGAAGGGGAAACAAACAAAAAATAGAACACTGTGATTCTTTTTTATACAAAACCCTCTTTTCTTTCTTGCTAATCAGAAAGAACAAAGAGTAATTCTCAATTCCAAAGCCATGGGCAGTTTCAGAGTTAAGATGAACAATGGGCGCGCTGTGTTTAGGTGTATACATTTCCATGCAAAAATATATTGGCCCCAATTCAGAGATTTTTCTGTTTTGGAGTGGGAAGCAAGAAGACTACTGCTTGTGAAGATCTTTCCGGCCAGATGGTCAATGCAGTTAGCTTTCAAAACTAAGCAGAAGAGGAAAAGGGATCAGTCCTCATATTCCCAAACCACACTGATCCCTCTGTTTGGTTCTGTCTTGAGTTTGTGCGTGTCCCTGTACACATATGCAGTTCAGGAACACAACACAAGCAGCCTGACTTTACAAGCACAATTTTCTGTCTCCACACAATGCTGTTTTGCACTCATCACATGGAGAATATTTTTTCAATTTACATTATTGTCCCAATAAAACCAGCACAAAGCATGTAAAGTGAATGTGAGCTCTTTTTAGTAAAAAAAAAATATAACTGACTAGTGTTAAACTAGCAGGGCTTAATGGCTAAAATACTAGAAATGGGAAATTTTAGGACATATTTAACAATTTCCACTCTTTTGCTGAGCCCCAATAAAACAGTAATCTATTGCTATACTGTAAAAGTTGAGACCAAACAGCCTCATACTGTTCAAAAGTGTTTCTACATGCACAGATTGTCAGCTGTAGTTTCTTACAATTTACAACACACTGAACGCTAATATTTAGGAGAAACCTTCTGAGGTACATGGATATAGCAAAATTAAGAGGACTGAGAATCCAGGTATGTATATGGACCACTATGCATAGTCCTTGGATGTAGTAGATGGATTGAATTTTCTTTTTACCATTTTGAGATATGTTACTGTACAGCAAAGTTAGTCTAATTTTAAAAGCAAATGAACATAATGGAATTTATTTTCTGGAAACATCCTGAGTTGTTACATTTGTTAATTCCATACACATATAATCAATCTCTGCTCAGCTCAACTCTAACATGCTCAGATTTAATGCAGACTAACTAACATATATTATTAATTAGCTGGTTTTCAATACCAGATACTTACAAATCAACGAAGACAGAAATTAGGAAACAAAACATTAAACAGAATATGCAAGCATGAAGTAGAATACAACTAAATAGTCTCAAGAAAAATATGTCATATGTCAATAATTAACGTTATTAGAAATATACTTTTATGGCAAATGGAAGGCATTTCAAGGGCAATAAGATAAATCCCTCTTCTGAAGGAAAAGTGAGATTTCAATCTCAGAGAGGTCTGATTTCAGAATTCCTTCTTAGCAAATGTTACTCTCCAGTATCAGAAAATAGGAACAACAATTAGCAGTTCAATGGAAGAGGGTTTGGATCCTCAAACTTCCCAGTCCATGCTTTCAACTTTGGGGGACTTTACACAAGTCTTGCAGCTGATATAAATAATGACTTTTCTTAGTGATAAAAGATTGGACTGCTGTGTAAGCCATTACTGAATACCAAAATTAAAGGGACCAATTGAACGTTAAGTGGAAGAGAGAGATACATATCTTGGCCTATCACCAAGAACACTTGTCTTATCATCAACCTAACTGGTTTCATTCTTGATTTAGGGAAATGTGTTCATTAATTAGTACAATCATTTCATTGGAAGAAGTAAAAGCTTACTTCTACTGAGTATCTGGACTATGGATAGGTGACAGAATTTCTAAGACTAACTGACACTTAAGCACTGACAAATTAATTTAGACATTAATCTATTTTCCTTGCATTGCTTAAATAAAAGCTTCATATTTAGATGATTAAAAAGTATTTTAAAGCCCAATTGCACAAAAGAATTAGCAGTCAGGGAGAAATTATTTCATAATACTTCCAGGATAATTATATATATAAAAATCACCACTTACCTTTCTAAAATGCCATTTTCCTGTGGTATAACTCCATTGATAGCTGCCTGAAAAGGAAGCATACAGCATTTGATTTTCTAGACAAAAATGATGACTTTATAATTTTCTTGGCAACAATACAGAAGCCATTTGTCATTGCCTTCTGGGATGTTTTCTGACCTCCCAGCCTAGCCTACAGCTCTGGTTTTCCTAGGAGGAATCCCACCAAGTATTAATCAGCCCTGGCCGTGCTTCGTTTCCAAGGCTAGACAAGTTGCGTCACCTGCTGAGATGTGGATGTGTTCATGAAGACACCAGGAGCTAAGTTTAGCTAAAAAATGGCCAAACTGGGGGTGAGGAAGCTTGCTTAAAAAGAAATGAGGAACTCTCTAAATACATTGTCTGCCAACTGATTAATAATAAGGCTGTGCAAAGCATCTGAAAGGAGCACTTACAAAGTGTACTAGTCCAAGTGAAGCACCCTCTTTAAAGCCTTAAAGTACCCCAACACAGAAAGTTCAGTACAACTGCTTCAAAGGCTTGTCCCAGCAGTTTTCACATGTATTTGTTTGCACAACTATTTCATTGGTATTCCCAACATGTTTCGTTTGTGTAAGGACACACATACAAACAGACAGATAACTGGAGAAAGGCTTCCAAACCCTCCCAGAGGTAACAACTGCTTTAATGCTTCAAGGAAGGTTCAATATGCTTTGGTGCCAACATGCTTTTTGAAGCACCCCTCTCGAATGCTTTGCACAGTCCTAATTAACATAAATATTAATATTCTACACTAGAGAAAATAAGTTCAGAATGATCAAAGTCCTGTTTCAAATGGATACAAATCAGTCAGCATCATTTAGGAACAGGAAAAAAGTATCTGTCATACTATGTCAGGTAATGGTTAAAATTGGCAAAAAATTAAAATCTGTCAAGATGAATTCCTAACATGCATTAAGATAAAACTAGGATACTAATCTTCTTTTCCAACAAAGATTTGCAGAATCATACTCTACATTTATAACAAATTATTTTAAGTAACAAACAGAATTGACAACAATGCCCACTCAATATTTCCAACCTGTTTGCACAGAACACTGGACCTAAGGCGGGACACATAGCAGCACTTCAATTTTTTATTTGGTTTTCCTTTTATAAAAAAAAAGAGAGATCCAGAGAAAAGGTCAGACAGAAGGTAATTACCAGTGATAATCAATGACTAGGCTATTTCCTAGGCAAAACTAGGAAGAGAAATGGGTAGGATAATCTTGCTCTTATATTTCAGTGTTCAGTGTTCAAAGGCAGCAGTGGGGTTATAGTCTGTGGAGTTACAGCCAGTGCCTTCTATATAGTTGCTAAGTAGTTGTCCCCTACTAAGCATAAGAATATACAACTACACGAGAACAATATTCACTGAGGCTCTGTTCTCTACAGGAACAACAAGGCTGATTGTTCAGAGACAGGGCCTCTTTAGTGACAGCCCCATATCTTTGGAATTCTGTTCCTAGGAAGCTGCTCATCTGTTAAAAGATAATTTATCCTGATCCACATTTAATCAATGTTTTATTATATCCCATTGCTATTTTATTTGCCCTTATTATTTATGTACCAAAGACTGCTTTGTAGTAATCAGCAACTGAACACAATGTTAGCTCCAGCACTTACCTATTTTCCCACACATGCACACAGAAATAGTTCAAGGACCAATGTTGAAAATGAAAGACTGGAAAGCCCCTCCACTCTTCTGTAATCATACAATTGCCTCTAACATCCCATTCTGTGTATGCTTCCATGCAGTCAGAGGATCAATTAATTTTACAGATGAGTATTTATTTTACCTCCATTTTTAACTAGTAGTTATTTACTAAATTAATTTTACCTATTTTTTGTACTAGCCATATTTTTTTTTTGAGAATGGCTTCTCACAAATGTGTATATGTACACATAAAAGTGTCACAACCACACATCCACACACAGAGATTGATTTCAACTGGAATGAAGTTAAGGAAGATGGGCACTGCACAGGATTTTTCTGTCTATAATGTTTTTCTGTGTAACCTATTTTGGGGGGACAATTATTCCAAAATTGGGTTTATTTTAGTTTTAAGTAAATGCAGTATATCTCATTACTCAAGAAAGGAAACATTAGGAAGAATATATGCAGATATTTGAAGATTAATCATATAGAGCTCAATGCTCTCGTACCTTTTGTTTATCATCCACTGGGTGATGTAATCATTCACTGGGTGATGTGTTGATGATACCCAGCAATACATCGCAACACCAGGCTGACCAAGTGATGCTGTCAAAGTCTTGTCCCAGTGTTCAGAAGCAGTGAGGGTATGAATGGGGAACAACAGACTGAAGCTCAACACTAGCAAGACTTAGTGGCTGTAGGTATTTGGGTCATCCAGTCCCAGAGATTTTCCATCTTTACTCCTAGATGGGGTAACCCTTCCCCATTTGAGACTGGTATGCATCTGGGTGTTTTCCTAGACTCACATCCCCTACTTGAAGAGCAAGTGGCAGCTATAGCCCAGTTAGCCTTTGCACAGATCCATCTTGTGCGATCCTGGATCGGGAAGCCTTTTAGGCAGTTGCTCATGTCCTAGGCTCCTTCATGGCATAGGGCCTGGTTATCTAAGGTACAATTTATCTCCAATAGTTTCTGCCATCTTGCCAATGAGAGAGAGTTGGCATGCCCCCAGTACCCATTGATTAAACCATGTCTGATGGGACCCAGACATGTAATAGTACCTGCCTTCTGGAAAAGCATCCCCCAGAGATCTGCATGTCCCCTACCCTGACTGCATTTAAAAGATCCTGAAAACCATGACTTCTCCTGCAAGTCTTGGCTAGGATAGGTGATAAGCCTCTTACAGGATTCTGCATCTTTATTTGAAAGTTTTAGGCTTTTCTGGACATGCAGCGTTCTTTTCTTTGCTACTATGTACCCTGATCTGTTTAATATTGTTCACCGCCCAGTCTTCATGGGATTGGCAGTCTTATAAATTTGAAAAATAAGTAAATTAATAAATATAGAATGAGACACCCATATTGGTTTATTCAAATATGTTAAAACCACAAAGACCCTATTGGATCAATTACAATATAATACATGAAAAGAAATGTGACATCATGGTCAGAGTATAAGATTAAATTGGGAACTCCAAGTGAAACTCTCTACTGAAACTCAATAATTAACTGGGTGAAATACTGCTTAGACAATATATTTAGAGGTACTCTACAGAGGTAAGTAGAAAGGAAGATTTAAATAAGAAAAATGATGCCAAATCATCACTATTCACCCCATTTAAAGAATTTTTTCAAGTAAGTGAAATAAAAAAGATTGCCTCTAAAACAATAAAATCTTCAGTGATTATTTGAGCCCTGATCCAGGCAATCCATGGGCCATAGTCTACTTTTTTTTCAGCCTCTGGAACCCTTCCAATATTCTGGTATCAAAACCCAGCAGCAAACTGTTGAATCATTAATGGCAGGTTTTACCATGAATTTCTGGCAGAAACTGAATAAAAGTTCAGGCAATAAACTGAGCACTGGCTTTTGAGGGGTGCCTCCAAAGTGTCTTTCCAAATATTTTTGCAGAACCCAATTGCTAATTTAAAAACTGAAAACAGATATGCAAAAAGTTATAAACTTACTGTTTTCCTCTGAAGCCTCTGACCCCACCCATTCTTTTTTTTTATAGCAATCTTTGATTCTAACACATACATTTAGGCCCAGAAAGCATGGACACCATTATTCCAAAATAATATCTCCTGTAATCTATAAAGAAGCAATATAGAAGAATATTTAAAGCAAAAAATTGGAAAATCTCATTTCAAAAACTTGTCATATCTAGAGATTCGTTAAGGTTAGCCTTAGACACACCCCTATAATTTAGTCTCATAACAATATAACACTATTCTACTGTACTGTAAAGTAACAAGGCTTACTGAAAAGGAAAATATAAAGGAACTACTCCGAACTCCCAGGAAAGTCTTTCTGTATTACTAATTTCAGGACACACAATGGGCATTCTGGAAATCCAAAGATTACTTCTCTCCATTGTTTCCTTCCATGTTTTTCTATACATATTTTAAAGACGTAAGAATGGATCCAGTACAACACTATTCTTCCCACCTGTTCACTTTCTAAAATATACATTTAGAAAGAACTTTAAGTAGTTCTTTCTAGGTTTAATATTAACTTTCCAAGAGCTGAGCTTAATATTTAACTGCCATCAAATATGGTTTTTAAAAAGAGATGATTATGCAAAGCACATGAAATAGCAATAAAATAATTGCATACTTACAACAAAATGTGGGGCACAGAAGCATTCTAGATTAATAACACTAAGGTATATTAAATTCAGCTGTAAAAACTTAAGATTCTTTCTTGCTGTTAGACACTTAAGGTACATATTTTGACTTCCAACAGGAACATAAAATCTTTCCAAATGGCTCCATCAGGCAATTAAAGATAGGCTGTTAATTCCTCCCTTTTTGGCTATGGCAGTACATTTCACTTCTACAAATAGCCTAATGGCAAAGATGGATGAGGATTATGGGGCATGTTACCCAACACATCTAGAAATATCAGGTTTGAAAAGACTGTATTAATAGATCAGAATTACAGATTGTAATTAAATCCAGTTTATATTACATACATTTTGTTTCTTCTTCTGAGGGTCTTTACTAGTGCAATTGGGTATTTGCATATCAGCACACATGCATGTATTGCAAAGATTTATACAATACATAGCCTGTCCTTTCATACACTGAAGCTGCTGAGGAATATTCTGAATTGAAAACATCATATATTGAAATATATAATTGTTTATAATTGGCTGAATTCAGAGTCAGTCATTTACAGTACAAAATAACCCCTCTGAAATCATTTGGACTTAGTTATGACTAAAGTAAGTTCCATTTGGTTTAGTCAGATATAAATAAACCTTATCTATTTAACTAAAAGAATATCTGATTTTGACTTCTCGAGGGACACATCTACTACATGCCATACCCCCTTCTACATATTTTGTAGATGGCAAAACACAGATTTATAC